CTTTTCTCAGGCACCCTCCTCTCCTCTGTCCCAGCCCCGCCAGCCGCCCTGCCGCTTAACCACCGGTCCGAGTCCCCGCAGAACTCGCCGAGATGCACGGCAACCCGGCAGCGAGGAAGCCACGCCCTGGCACACCACGTACTCCCTGTCCTTCCATTTTCAGTGTGGATTATTGCATCGAAATTTGCACATGCTGACAGAAACAACACCATACACATAGAGCTTAATGGATAATCAGAAAGTGAACTCCCTATAACCCTCCTTAAGGGCTCATTGCCAACACCCAGAAGCCACCACCACCACCGCTAGGTGACCACCTAGGTCCCCGTCACCAAGAGACATGCCGGAGTTTCATTTTACCTGCTTTTCTACTTCGTGCAAATATGATCACATTGTACTCTTTGTCGTGCTTCTGGGGCTCAATATTATGTTCCTAAGATTTGTTCACATTGCTTTGTGTAGCTGCAAGTCTGTCCATTTGCATTGTTACACAGTAGTTCACTGTTCAACCATATTACCATTCACATATCCATCTCGAGGTGGTGAATATTTGGATTATTCCCCAGTGAACTTGAGGTGAACGAGGTGGCTACGGACTGCAGTCCAATGCCCGGGCTGAGGACCAGTACTGGCCAGTGGCCTGTTTGGAGCCGGGCCACGCAGCAGGAGGTGAGCAGCAGGCGAGGGTGAAGTCCCATCTGTATCTTCTGCATTACGCGGCTCCCATCACTCACATCACGCCTGTCAGATCAGCGGTGGCGTTAGATTCTCACAGGAGCGCGCAGCCCCGGTCCCTCCCATGTAGAGCGCGCAGTGGCGTCCGCACTCCTGTGGGAAGCCAGTGCCTGCTCATCTGAGGTGGAGCTGAGGTGGGGACGCCAGCGCCGGGGAGTGGCTGAAAATGCGGATTATCATTAGCAGAGAGGATTGAGTACAGAGACCATAACAAATCAATTGCTTGCAGACTCATATCAAAGCCCTATCAGTGAGTAAGTAGCAAGTGACAATTGAGCTGCATCTGGTGCCAAGCTCTATAATGGCAAGTGAGTTGATGTACTTCAATTGTTCAGCTGCATCTGGTGGCAGCTTTAAGTCAGAATCTGACACCTATTTTAGTCCGTGTGTGCCCCACCCATTATTTTATTTACCACTTCCGCCCACACCGTTTTCCTGCACTGCGCACTTGTCTCAGTCACTCTTGGTCAGACCACAAGCTAACCCTAGCAGAAATGAGTAAAAAAACAAATGTCACTGGAGAGCTTCTTTGAAGAGGGGGGAAGACCCAATGATGAAACAGCAGAAGACTCTAAGACTGCCAACGAAATGAAAGCTGCATTTAATAGAAAACACCAAGAGTCTTACTTAAAGTATGGGCTCACTGCAACAGGTGAGATCACATTCTCCAAGCCAGCTTTGTATAATATGGGGCGACTGGCTATCCAACGAAGCCATGAAACCTTCAAAACTGCTTCGCCACATGGAGACCAAGCACCCTGCATTAAAAGACAAGCCTTTGGAGTTTTTCAAAAGAAAAAACCTGAACATGAAGAACAGAGGCAATTATTGAAGGCCACCACTTCATCAAACGTATTTGCACTGAGCGCCATTCTCAGTGGCTACCACATTGCTAAAGCTAAGAAGCCCTTCACTATTGGGGAAGACTTGATCCCGCTGCCATAAGGACATTTGCTGTGAACTTTTAGGAGAGGCTGCAGTTCAAAAGGTGGCACGTGTTCCTCTTTCGGCTAGCACCATCGCTAGATGAATTAATGAAATAGCAGAGGATATTGAGGCACAACTGTTAGAGAGGATTAATGAGTCACCGTGATACACAATCCAGATTGACAAGTCTACTGATGCTGACAACAAGGCAACAATGCTTGTTTTTGTGTGATATGTTTTTCAGGAGGATGTGCATGAGGATATGTTACGAGCACTTTTGTTGCCAACCAACACCGCAGCTGCAGAAGTGTTCAAGTCTCTGAATAATTACATACCAGGTAAACCGAATTGGACATTTTGTCTCAGTATATGCATGCATGGAGGGGCTGCCATGGCTGGACGGCTTCCTGGTTTCACTACTCGGATCAAGAAGGTCGCTTCTGAACGTGAGTGTACGCACTGTGTCATCCATAGAGAAATGCTGGCTAGCTGAAAAATGTCACCTGAACCAAACAATGTCTTGCAGGATATAATTAAAATCATCAACCACATTAAAGTACATGCCCTCAGCTCGTGCCTGTTTGCACAGCGGGATGAGGAGACGGACACAGAGCACGCACGTCTTCTCTCTCACACAGAAGCGAGATGGCTTTCTAAAGGTAGGTCACTGGCCAGAGTTTTTAGTTACAAGAGCTGCTCCAGATATTTCTCTTAGAAAAACAGTCGTCACTGGTGACACATTTCAGTGACACGCTGAGTGGGTAGCAAAACTTGCTTATGTGTGTGACATATTCAACCTGCTCAAGGAACTCAAATTTGTCACTTCAGAGGAGAATGACAACTGTGTTCAAGTCCACAGATAAAGTGGCTGCATTCAAAGTCAAACTGGAATCGTGGGGGTGATGAGTGACCATTGGGATTTTTGACATGTTTCAGACATTAACAGAGGTTTCGAAAGAGACTGGACCAGGGCTTGCTTTCTCCAGCTGGTGCGTGACCACCTGTCTCGGCTTTCAAAAGAGTTCGAGCATGACTTCCCAACTGCAAAAGACCCTGAACTGGGAAGGAGTGGATCCACGACCCATCTGTGAATAAGCCAGGTGAATCGACTTTGTCTGTGCTAGAAGAGGATCAATTACTTAAGATCACAAATGACGGTGGCCGAACCATTTCGGGACCGCGCTCACCGGCCACGAAACCTTGCCACAGCCAGCACCCATAGTCCGCACGGTAGTCTGTGCTGTGCGTTCGCGATGAATCTGTTTTGCTCTTGTGTGACGAGGAAAGCTTTAAAGCTTTCCATTGTCCATTGTTTTACTTTACAGGCCGCTTTAGGAAAATAACTATAATAACTCCTACTAAGGACTTGTTAAAAGGTCACAGATTCCTAGTAACTTATTAGCTGAACGTACACACTGCAACTGCAGAGATAAAAGCTGTAAAAGTGGCCGGGCGCGGTGGCTCACGCCTGTAATCCTAGCTCTCTGGGAGGCCAAGGCGGGCGGATTGCTCGAGGTCGGAAGTTCGAAACCAGCCTGAGCATGAGCGAGACCCCGTCTCTACTATAAATAGAAAGAAACTAATTGGCCAACTAATATATATAGAAAAAATTAGCCGGGCATGGTGGCTCATGCCTGTAGTCCCAGCTACTTGGGAGGCTGAGACAGAAGGATCGCTTGAGCCCAGGAGTTTGAGGTTGCTGTGAGCTAGGCTGACGCCATGGCACTCACTCTAGCCTGGACAACAAAGCAAGACTCTGTCTCAAAAAAAAAAAAAAAAAAAGCTGTAAAAGTAAAAGCTTTTGGCTGTCGGCTGCAGTCGGCGCTCGGCTGTGCACGCTCATCTGTGGCTGTCGACTGTAGTCGACCGAAGTGGTTAAAAGTATGTTTGAGACAACTCAAATCTCATTCTGGATTGAAGTCAAGGTGGAAGATCTCAAGATTGCCACAAAAGCACTGAAAACCTGCTTCGATTTCCAACATCCTATCTTTGTGAAGCAGGGTTTTCCGCAGTGACAGCAACCCAAACGGGATTACAGAGTAGACTGGACATCAGCAACACACTTCAAGTGTCACTGTGTCCCATCACCCCCAGATGGGACCATCTAGTTGCGGGAAAGCCAGCTCAGGGTTCCCACTGGTTCTGCATTATAGTGAGTTGTATACTGATTTTGTTATATATTACAATGTAATAGTGATAGAAATAAAGTGCACAATAAATGTGATGTGCTCGAATCGTCTGAAACCATCGCCCCCTCCTAGTCCATGGAAAAATATATCTTCCATTAAACAGTCCCTGGTGCCAAAAAGGTTGGGGATCACTGGCTGTGGGTATTCTTGTACATATGTATACCTTGCTGTGTCTTTACCTAAGTTTATCTAGGTATGCACCCAGGAATGGAATTGCTGGGCCATGGGATATACTAGCAGTTTACAACTTTTACTAGAGTTCCTGCAGCTCCAAATTCTTGCTGACAATTAGTATTTTCAGAATTTTTAGTTTTTGCCTACCTTGTATTAATGCTATCTCATAGTTTTAGTTTGCATTTTCCTGATTACTAATAAAGTTGAGCCTCTTTTAATGTTCCTTGGCCATTTGGATTTCCCCTTTGGTTTTGTGCCTGTGGCATTGCTAAGACCATTTTTCTATTCTTTATTGATTTGGTGAAGGTCTTTACATATATTCGACAACCTCATCATCTATCACTTTATGTGCTACAACTGCCTTCTCCCATTTTGTGCTTGTCTTTTTGCTCATTTCATGATGTCCTGTGCACTCCTGCTCCCTCCAGATGAGCTCTGTGCTTACAACTGAGAATTATGCTTTTCCCCAAGCCCATTTAGGCTGGTTGTAATTTTGTTATTGTTGTTTCATAACAAAATAAGTTGACTGCATTGGGGAAACTTTATAAAGGTCAGTTATTTAATATATTTATATAGACAGCTAAAATAGATACAGACATACATGGTATAGACATAGATGCAGAATTAGGTAGCACAATAAAAGAATTGGGATTAGAGAAGGGTCAGAAAAATCTAGAAGGATTTTACATTCATTTTTCTTCACAAGTGTTTCTGAGATCACTAAAAATTCCATATTAAAGACACTGAAATTGGAATTTGTGAATGATATACTTTGGGTGTGGTTTATGTTGGGAAGACCATGCTAAATTCTACTCAACCAAACTAAACACAAAGGAAAGCACCCAAAGATTAATGGACAAATATACACTTAAATTTTTTTTTGACATCTTATAAATTTAATTGCAAGAAAATGTAAATTCTACAAATAATAAATCCAAAAGCAACTTTAAGAACAATTTTAGATGAATACATGTTAATGAGCTTACACGGTTAACAAGAATTTTTACAAATTAAAAAGTTTGTAATTCTTACAAATCAAGAAGTTTGGGCTTGCTGGGAGACGTCCAATCATCTCAGAAGGTACAGGGGTTTGCAAGTGAAACTGCACCTGGTGGGCAGAAGTCCAGGGATCCAGTCTTCAAAACAGTTACTTCTTCCTTTCTATAACTGATTCCAGAAGTTTCTGAATCTTTTGCTTTTTTATAAATTTGACATTCTCTGATTAAGCCCATTGGAATCTTTTTGCCTATCATATATACCCTACCATTTTGACAACTACACAGTAGGTCAATTATTGAAATAGGCAAAGGATAATTTCCATTAGTATATGAATTACCACTCACAATACATCTTTGCCAAATTCTTTGTCTTTCAAGAAATTGTGTTTCAGAGAAAATAAAAATGAGAAACTTAGTTTTCCCCAGGACGTATTTGGCTCTCTCTGACATTTTAGGTCATATCAAAACATCTCACAATGGTTCTATTTGATTCTACTTTCTCCACAGACAACTATCATTATCAGGAATTGTACAGAAAATGGCATGAAATAAAAAAGATATTGTTTCCATCCACAAAATCTAGTATCTCGTTAACTTACAAACTACTATTTTCCATTTGTTATTTACTACAAATATTAGTACAGTATCGCCTCTCACCAACACAGCTATTTGGCTGAGAGATACTATTCTCCCCATTGAGAGACTAGAAAACTGAGGCTTGAAGTTCTTAATAACATCCCCCACAATCCCATAGTTATTTAGCTACAAAGCCTACAAAATTTACCCCGAACAAATCTATATAATTGTTGCTACTAAGTCTATAAAATCTACTTTAAAAATGTTAACTAAATCTTTGCACGCCAGCATACTGTCTCTCCCTTGATCATTCTGACCTTTCTCAGGCCAAAGGTCTCTTTCGCTTCTTAGAGACTTTCTAGGAAGGGCTCCCCTTCTGATGGGCAGATTCTCAGGCCAGCACCGCTGTCACCTTCTCCTGGCAGCTCAAGAAAGAAAAAGGGACAAAAATGTTTTAAAGTAAACTTAAGTATATTAATACTATAGAAGCATCATTTTAGCAATTCTCCACTTTAATTAATTTTTAAAATTAATTATTCAAAGATTGATTTCATTCATATCAGATAAGCCAGATAAGTTACATGTTATCATTATTTTTATACCACATTTAAAATGTTAACATATGTAAATATTCTGGTATTTGCTTTTTTATTATGGTAAAATAGTCATGCCATAAAATTTACATTTTTAAGTGTACATTTTAGTGGCATTAAGTACATTCACACTGTTGTGCAACCACCAGCACCATCCATCGCCAGAACATTTTTCACCTTCCCCAGCTGAAACTCTGCACCCATTAAGCGATGACTCCCCATTCCCCTTCCCCAGTCCCTGGCAACCACCATTCCACTTTCTGTCTCTAGGAATGGATTACTCATGGAGGTGGAATCATACAGTATTTGTCATTTTGCGTCTGGCTTGTGTAGCACATTGTCCTCCAGGTTCATCCGTGTTATAGCATGAGTCAGAATTTTCTTCCCTCTTAAGGCTGAGTGACAGTCCAGGGAATGCATACACTACATTTTGTTTATCCATTCATCCATCCATTGATGGACACTTGTGTTGTTTCCACCTTTTGGCTATAGTGAGTAATACTGCTATGCACATGGGTGTACAATATCTGTTTGAGTCCCTGCTTTCAATTCTATTGTGTCCATACCTGGAAGTGAAATTGCTGAATCATATGGTAATTCTACGTTAAATTTTTTGAGAAATGCCATTCTGAAATATTTGCTTTTAGTGTGAAGATTCTACAACTTCAAAAAGTTTGTAAATCCCTATCCCTCAGGCTCCAGCTATATATGCCATATTAACTCTCAATATTGTCTGAAAAACTGGTCTTGGATCCTAGAGCAACCTGAGCCCAAGCTGGAAGGGATCCCAGAGGTCATCCAGGCCAAGCTCACCATCTTATCCGAGAGATCATGGCAGCTCAGAGAAGTCACAGGACTTGCCTATGGCCAGACAGTCTACTGGGACAAGGATAGGAGCAGAACCTGGGCCACAGCCAGTGCTGTGCCCACCAGATCAGAGAAGATGCACTTGAAAAAGCAGGTGCTCAAACCCCTGCAGTCACAAGGTACACGTGGCCCCCAAAGGAGGAGGTGCTCTGGGTCAAGCTTGCCCTCCCAGCCTGGCGCCAAGGCTAGGTGGGGCCCTGTCCCGTTGCACACGGCCTGGGTGCTGGGCTGACGCGTGCCCAGTGGCCCCATGGGCACCACACCCAGGCCCACCCAGCTGGCCTGGGCCGGCCCACCCCAAGGAGGCCGGGCCCAGCTGCACTCACGCCGTTTCTGTATTTTCCTTTAAAGCATGCATCTCCTGCAATGCCCACCCTACCTGCTAAGCCTAAAACACACTCATGCACACACACACACACACACACACACACACACACAGCAGCAGCTTGTGGAAGATTTGCTGTTTCTTCATGACCTGTTTCAGGGGTAGGCTGAGCTGGCCCCAGACAAAATGCAAAAAAGTGAAGTTGTCTTTCTTTTTCCATTTAATTTTCTCTCTTCCCCACTTCTGCTGCCTTCTCCAAATTCCCCGAATTCCTAAAACTCTGAGGTTGTCCTCAGGATACCAGGAGCTCGCCACGCAGCATCCCAGCGCACCGCGACCCCACGGGCAGCGCCTGTTCTCCAAACCCAGCCCTGCGACACCCGCCCGGCGCGCCTGCTCCCAGCCAGCCGCCTCGCTGAAAGCAGACCGAGACGTCTCTCCCCAGGCCCAGCGACGAAAGCGCCTTACTGGTAGACAAGTTTTACACAAATCAACTTCTTGTCCATTATCTCAAATGACCCCAACCACAGTCCTGTAGAAACACGGGAGGAAAAGAAGAAAATCTTCGTTTCATTGACGAGTCGCCGACACTCAAGGCCAGCGCGTTGCCGCGAGCACCGAGCCGAGACTGCAGCCCGCGGAGCACCTGCTCTCGGGCTCCGAAGGGTGATGCTGGACAGCAGGCCGTGGATAGGTCCTCAGAGGACAGCAAGGCCTCGACACAGGCCCCCCGGGGATGTGGCAGTTGGGCACAGGAGCGGCTCTCCGAAGCTGGGAGCCTCAGGGATTTGGGAAGACTGGGGACATGCAATAGGACGGTCCTGTCTATGGGTCTTTCAAATCCCAAGACGCTAATTGTCTAAACCTCAGAATGCGGGAGCCGAACCCCAGGGCAACAGCCTCTCAGGGAGGTGCGGGCCCTGAGCAGGCAGATTCCGTTCCCTGCGACAGCCTGGAGGAGGCCGGGCGGGGGAGGCCAGGCAGCCGCTGCGTCCGCTCCGGAGTGGCCGCGCTCCTCTCCTGCTGGCAGAGCTGGGAGGCCGCAGCTGCGAGAAGAGGTGAGCGGAGAGGAAAGTCACATCTCCCCTCTCCCCTTAAGAAACCCTCTTCCTCGCGCAGCAGAATGCAGAGCGGTAGGGGAGGCCCGGTCTGAGCCCCGGCACAGCAGCTCTGGCGGCAGTTGCGCTGGGGACGGAGCCGCGCCAGGCTTCAGCCGGAACCCGCTCTGCCCACCCGCTGCACGGCCCTGCCAGCTCTGGGTGGGAGAACGACATGAACAGGGAATCATTTTTCTGATTAACCTACGGGCAGCAACCAAATGGCATTTTAAACCCGAGCTAAATATGACACTACCTGGGGTGTCTTTAAAACACTCGTGGCCAGTCCCTCCCACCCCAGAGATTCCGAGGTGCTCCTGGGTGGGCGTCCCCGCATCAGGACGTGGAAAGCTTCCCCGCGTGGTTCTAATGTGCAGCCTGGACCCCTGCTCCGCAGGAACTGCCTGCAGGGCCACGCTTCGAAGGTCAGAGAAGGTGGCAAGCGCAGGCCACGCGTGGAGGCTCACAGGGCTCAAGAGGGAGAGGCTGGCCCGAGAAGGGGCAGAATGGGAAGAATGGGGGTGCCCCTCCTTGAGGGGAAAGAGGCACAGGCCAAAGCCTGGGATGCCCCAGGCCTCCTTTCCCGCAACCTTGCTGGGCAGCAAAGATGGGACCAGGGCTCTGAGTGTCCAGGAGGAAGAAGACCGAGGGACAGGCTAACGTAGTTCCTGTAACATGAGAGTGGGTGTGCACCCATCCGATGCCGCCGCGCAAAATGAAAGCATGGTTATTCCCACAGCACGGTCACAGTTTACAAAGCGCTTCCGCGTCTCGTCTCACTCGACTCCCGCAGAAGCCCTGGGAGAGAGGCGGACGCCGCGGCATCTCCACTCCCCACGGCACAGGGGACGGCCCGCGGGACCTCGGCCCGCACAGTCCCACCCCCGGGAGAGCTCAGGCAGGGGTCTCTCCACAGCATCACTGTGCTCAGTCACGACGCTGAGAGACTTCGCCGGGCGACTGACTCGTCGCTGTTTGCCCAGGACGTCCCAGTCTTTGCGGGGAAAGTCCTTCGTCCCTGGAACCTCCGGTCCTGGGCAACCCCAGACTTATCCCTTACGTGAACAGAATGTGTTCAACTACTTGATATAGTCGAACACACACAAAGAAGGTTATGTGTTTTCTAGTAAATGATTCAGATACTCTTAGGCATACAGAGAGTTGCCACTCTGTCGCCTAATACTTAGACAATCTTTCCTTGTTATGTGACCTATTTACAGAGAATACACTGACAATAATTGAAGATTGTCATATAAGATACCTCATTGAGTCTATGTGCATCTTATTTTTACATTTTGCTCTAATTACAAACATCCATATTTGGTTGATCTATTAATTATACTTTATTTATAAAATGAAAAGATTCTCCTATCGCGCATCTCTGTTAAATCCTTCTGTGGGAAGACAGCTGATTTGGGCTATGGAAGCCATAAATGGGGACAGATATTCTTAACTCTTTTGGACCATGACCCCTTTGGCTGTCTGGTAAAGCCTATAGTCTCCTCAGAATACTATTTTAAAATGTACAAAAGAAAACACAAAGGATAATGAAGAAAATATAGCTATCAAAATATTAAAACAGATTTGTGTTATAGTTTCCTTATTAACACATTAAACAAGGTCTAGTGGCAGCTCTAATTACCACCCTGATTTTGAAATGGTAATGAGGATACATGATAGCCCAAGGTATCTGCAACAACTGTAGAGTGAGACCAAAATATCTGTGATTTCTATTGGTGACAAAGTCACAGGTACTACAGATATTACTGTGAATTGCAGCCTACGCTATAAATGAAGGAAAGGCTAAATTTCAATTGGCAATCGGTACAAATAAAGACATACATTTTTTTTTCTCATCCAAGGCCATGAACTCCTTGATGTCAGTTTCAGAGACCCTGACCTAAAGGTTTTACTATACATGCTGTTAGGGAATCCTAATTACCTTGCAAGTTCTTGGGACAGCATTTCCCAAAATGTGTCCATTGGAGTACCACTTTTAGGAACTGATAGTAGCTGTCTATTATGGGTTAAACTGTGCCCTCCCAAACAGGTGTTGAAGCCCTAACCCCTGATACCTGTGGTTGTGACCATATTTGCAAATAGGGTCTTTGCAGACATAATCAAGTTAAGATGAGGTCATACTCAGTTCGGGAGGCCCAATCCAATACGATGGTGTCCTTAAAAGAGGAGACTCAGAGACACACGGGGAGAGTGTGTGTGATGACGGAGACAGGTCGGAGGGTGCGTCCACGTTTCACGGAACCCCAAGGACTGTGGCGGCACCAGCTAAGGAAAAGGCATGAGCAGACGCTCCCCTAGAACCTTCAGACACAGGGTGGCCCTGCCAAATCCTTGATTTTGGACTTCCAGCCTCCAAAACTGTGAAAAAATAAATGTCTGTTGTTTTAAGCCACCTGATTTGTGGAACTTTGTCATGCCAGCCCTAGGAGACTAATGCCATATCCTTCGAAAAAAAGTAATTTGAGCTCAAAACACTTGGGACTCTGAGAGCATTAAGTTTCCCGTTTGGAGACGTGCAATAC